CATCACTGTGTTCTGCCCGTACTGTTGCGCCCTCTTTCCCTTCCCATTTTGGGGGCAGCTGCGGGTGGTTTTACATGCCGTGGAGCTGTGTGCCGTGCTGTCCGGTGTTTCATTGTTGCCTGTTCTTCCTGCGTGCACGCGTCCCCCATGCTCATGACAGCAACCCTCATGCAAACGCTGCTCCTCCTTTTCCATGCTGCTGATGTGTGTGTGTTCTTCTCCTCCTCCTCTCTTTGTCCCTCCCTAGACTGTGTGTGCAGCCGTGATGATGATGACGATGACTGGCCGTGTGCTGCTGGTGTGTGCCCTCTGCGTGCTGTGGTGCGGTGCCGGCGGTGGTGTACGAGCTGAAACACCTCAAGGTTTTTCGGGTAATCCGTCCGAAAAGGGCACTAAAAACGACAATGCGACCAGCGTTCGCGCTGGAAAAGGTGACCAAAGTGGTCAAAAGGCAGAGCCTCAAGAAACATCACCAACGGGGTCAGGATCACCGGAAGCGGCACCGGGCCCGTCACCGGCACCAAAACCCGGAGGAGAAGCATCAGATCCGACAAATACAACGACGGAGAGCACGGATCAAAAACAAGAAGAAAAGAAGGAACAAAAGAATGAAGAAGCTAAGGATGGGGAGGAAGACGAAGAAGAGGAAGAAGAGGAAGAAGAGGAAGGGGAAGAAGAGGAAGAGGAAGGGGAAGAAGAGGATGGTGCGAAAGAAAACGGGGAGACAAAGAAAGAAGAAACTGATACCGGCACCACAGAGAGGACCTTAGCAGGCGGTCAAGAGCAGCCAAGTTTATCTTCTGCTGCGGAGGGAGCATCGAATATAACAAATCCCAACAGCACACCAACAACTGGAGACGGTGATTCAGCAGCTGATGGTGCAGGGACAGCAGAGGGAAAACAAAATGAAAATAAAGATGCCAATCCGAAAGAAACACCAGTGACGGCCACAGCCATGAAAAACACAACGGCGACGACTGGCGACAGTGACGGCAGCACCGCGGTCTCCCACACCACCTTTCCTCTTTTGCTTCTTCTTGTTGTTGCGTGTGCGGCTGCTGCTGCGGTGGTGGCCGCGTGAGAGTGAGTGTGAGAGAGAGCCGTGCACCGCCCGCACACACACTCGTCCTTCTCACTCTCTCTGTGTGTGTGTCCCCTTGCATGGACTCTCGCCCTCACCTCACCCCACGAGGCACACAATAATGTGCCCATTGTATATATGCATGCACACCCATGCAGGCCCGTTGGTGCTCCCTTTTGCACGACACGCACCGCTGCCGTCCTGCCTGGCTGCATGGGCGGAGCACCGTAACTGTTTCTGTTTTTGTCCTCTTATGATTGTTTTAATTGTTTTTAATTTTTCTTTGCTGTTTGCTTTAAAATATTTTAAATGTTTTTTCTTGTTTTTTCTGGTTGTGTGATTTTTTTCTTTCGTTTTGTTTTTGTTATTACTTTTTATTGTTTTTTATCTCATTTCCTTCACTCCCCCATACCTTCTTTTTTTGCTTTTGGGGGCAATCACTATGGACGTGTTTTTCTTTTCTACTCTTCCCTCTTTAATTGTTTGTTGCTGCACTCTTCCTGCGAGGGGTGCCGTGTGTTTTCCGCCCAACTGCTCCACTCGCACACCCACCGACACGCTCATGACGACGGCCCTGTGCGCCTCGCCTGCTGCACGCATGAGGAGGGGCCGCGACGAACGGCGCGCTGAGGGAGCCGTGACGTGTGGGCGTGCGACGAGGGCCTGTGGGGCGGCGCACACATTTCTTCCCTCTTGTTTTGTTTTCTTTGCGGCCAGGGCGGGCAGACACCCGCAGCGCCACACACACACAGCCACACCCTGCCGCCGTGTTTTTTTTTTCTTTTTCTTGTTTTTTTTCTTTTTTTTTGCTTTTTTGGATGATTGTGTGCCGCCACCGTGCGTAGTTGTTGAGGTTGGGTCCGTACCGCATGTACCGCTGCTCTCCGGCTGTGCCTCTTGCCGTGCTGATGTGCCTCCCTGTGCTCCTATTTTTTTAGGCTTCTCCAACAGACACCCACACGCATATGTATTTGCACAGTGTTCTGCAAGAATGTTTTTGCTCTGCCGGATGCTTGCGTTGCTTGGTGTGTGCTGACGCGTGACGGACGGTGCCACGATGGCCTCCTCTGATGATGACAGTTGCTGTGCTTTCGGCACACATCCACACTCTCCTCCTTTTCCCTCCGTGGGAGTGAGTGCGGCAGCAGCGTGGTCTACGGCAGCGGCTGTTGGTGCTGCGGAGACCGAGGCGCCGAGGAACAAGAGGGCGAACCTGCTGGACGCGATTACGATGGCGGATGAAAGCTGTTTCGTTGCCTTTGCTTCGTACATTGCTAAGAAGTGCGGCGTGTCGCTGCCTGACAGGATGCCTGCACTCGGAGCCCTTTGAGGCTTTGTTTTGTTTCATTCAGTGTGATGTCAAAATCATCATGGCAGCACCTTCCCTCACCGGCTCTGAGTGTGACAATACGAATGGCGGCAAAGAGAGCGATGAGGATGGTGACGGTTTGCACCGAGGGGCGGATTACTTGCGTGTCTTTTTACACGAATCCCGGGAGGGTTTGGCTGCCGTCCCCACAATTCCCGGTCTTGCGGAACTGTTGGCTTTCGCGCTGTCACCCGCCGTAATTAGTGCCCCATGCGTTGAGGCTGATCCATTTACCGTGGAGTTCACGCAGCAGCTCTCGAGTGTTTGTGCTGCTGATCCCGCGTTGGCCCTTTCGCATGTATCTCAGCGTTGCCGGGCGTGTGATTTGTTGTGCGTTGTCCAGGCCGCTGCCTCCAGTTTTCTTTTTGTGCCCAATAAGAAACACTTTGCGTTGCGGTGGGTATTTATTTGCGTGGCCGTTGATGCACGTGACGATGCTCAACGGGTGTGTCTTTTGTTTGGTGGGCACGAGGGAGACTTCGGTGTGCGCTGACACCTCCGTCGAAGTCTTCGTCGACGGATCGAGGCGAAAATAAGGGGGGTCTGTCCGCTGCATCTCTCAAGGCAGCTGCGGGGCACTCCGAGCGCACAGAGTGAATGGATGGATGCCGCGCAGCTGGGGAAACCAGTTGTCTTCTCCGCCCTCCGTTGCCGGGGGAATCGATAATCCACAGCGTCACTGCCAGCTGCATTTTACTGCTGGGGATCGACTGTTCTGAAGTTGCCCGTCTAATGTGAATCGCAGCATCAGTGCAGGAAGACGCTTTCACGCATTGCGAGTAGCTGCCCCAGCCTCGAGCTCATCAATATTAACAGCGGGGAGCAATGCATCTTGGTGGCCGGTGACGTTCAGGCGAGTGTGTTTCACTTCACCCGCCTCGCATTTGTGAGGGACACTGCGCATAGACCCTCCCCAACAGTCCCACCACCTTCACTTTCCCCCGCTGCTCGCTGCTCTCTGCTGACGGTACAGTTGTTTGGCTCCGCCAATAATGCGCTCGTGAAACGTCCTCTCCGCACGCTGCGGGATTATTGCCGTGGAGGAGTTGATGGCATGTGGTGCGTGTGTGGCGTCGACGGAGTCATCCACGCATTGTTTTAGAAACATGACTTTGAGTCGTGTCAGTCACGCCGTGTTTCCCTTTTTCTTGCTGGGAGTCTCTTGTGGGTGTGTTTGAGCCCTTTTTCTCCAATTTGTTTGCTGAAACGATCAAATGCTCCGCCGCTGCACATCTCCGGTTTTCCAATGCGGTGGATCGAGCAGATGCCGGGGGAATTTCAGGCGAAGCAAACCGAAGTTTGCCTCACTTGCTGCTGCCGCATGACGATGTGTGGTGAGCAAACAGGGGAGGAGCATGCGGTGGCAGCAACGCGTGCCTTGCGGGATAAAAATTCAGACCTACCAGTGTGGCGACGGTGCTGACGCAGAGTCCGTTACTGAGGGAACATAATATGGAGGCGGGACTGCCAGCGGAGCATCGCGCGGTGACGCGCATTTCTCTCATTGGCGGGGTGACAGCCGAGCCTTCCAATCTGCTGGACTCTGATATTCTGCTGCGCCTGATGGGGCACGTTATCGCCATGGCAGAGCAGCCGTCTGACTCTCTTGATGACATCATGGCTCGGAGAGTGGTAGTTTCTCTCCCATTGTACCCAACAGAGCCGGCACTGGCGCGTTGCTGCTGTGTTGATGACGACGCCGTGACGGAGGGAATAGCGGTTGTGTATTCACGATGAAACCTACCGGAGACGTATTCATCGCGTGCGTTTTCCACCTCAGCACGCGGTGGGTGGCGGTCATTTGAGGATTTTTGTGGACGGGCTGTTTAACCGCGGCCTTTTAGTGAATAGACTCTTTGTGGAAGATGGTGCAATCCGCGTGCGGCCCAACGGATGCCCCCAGTACTCCTTGGAGGAGTGTAGGCGAATCCTGCAGGGATTGATGAGGGACGGCCTGCCTGTGATGTGGCATGAGGCAAATAACCGTCGTTTGGTGCACTCAAGCAGTATCCCCTATGATGCGCCTATCGGCTGTGACTTGCATGGACAAATGCAGACCGTCCACATTCTTGTGGAGTCGCAGCACGCACGTTGGGGCTTTTTTGATTCCCCTCAATACTGTGAGTTTTCCTTTTGAATGTGCCATCGCCAGAGAGCGAGATAACCTTGGCCAAGTTGGTTGTACTTTTCCAGGGATGAGACAAACAAATATTTGTGTCCTGTGTGCGGTACGTTGCTCTACCCTGCCGTCTGCCGTGGTGCCCCTCCGACGACATTCTTGACCCATCTTTGCCACCGAGAGGCAGACTTGGCTCCGAATGCCGTTTATCTGCGGACGCAACTCTGCAGTCGTACGTGCATTATCTTCCACACGTATTTCCGAGGGTACGCGTCATTTATCTGGACGCCAACAGCGCCATCGTATCATCCTATGCGACACCCTTGCACCGTTGTTGTTGTCGTCACGGTAATTTTTTTTTTCCAGACGGGAGTGAGAGAAGTTTCGTTTTTCACCTGTACGATGTGCTGATTCCCACTGTGGGCGCTGAGAGCGTGCAGCGGAACGATGGCAAGCTTGCAGAAACTGTCTCGCGTAAAAATTGGAGGTCCGTTTGTTGTGCAACTAGTGGGAGATGGTTGTGGTTCTCTCCTCCTTCTAGTTTTTGGTGGCTGTTCTGTCGTTATGTATGTGTTTCTTGTGTGGATCCAGTTTTGCGGTGTGTGCAGTGTGCGAGTTGTGCCTGCTGCGGGAGGTCGCATCATTACCGCGCACGCAACGGCGACGCCCGGACGATGTGTGTGTCTTTTGGCTGCACCTCTTTGTATTTCCCTTTTGCCTTTCTATTCTTCGCTCTGTGCGCAGATCTGCTCACCGACTACAGCCACACTACTACTACTACTACTGCTGCTCGCACGTGTACGCGGAAAACGATGATGATGGTTGTATGGCGCGTGTGGAAGCAAAGATTCCCGTGCGCACCGGCGCCCAGTCGGCGAGAGCAGCCGGACTGCGTGTCGTACTGGTAAGAAGCCGGATGGTCAATATGTAACGGAAGAGGAGGCTTTCAATGCGATATTTGGCGATTTTGCAGCGAGGAGCTGCTCGGATTACGATGGCACGAATAATTCCGGAGGAATGGAGGAATATATGAATCCTGACCTCACGACGCCCAACACCAGCGATGCGTACAGCGATGGGACAGCATCCATGGTCCTCGGGCACCCGCCCTTGCCGCCAAGGAGCCGACAAACAGCGGTGCGTGCAGCAGCGCCACACAGATCACATCTTCTTTAAAAAAGAGGATCTAAGCGAGCGGAGAAATCTTGTTCGAAGGTGACTTGTTCTTGCCGACGGTGGAAAGCAGCGAAATTATCATCTTGTGTGTGGAGAAACCACTGCTGCTTCTGCTTTTGGGTCCATGTGGAGTTGTGACAGTTTTCTGAGACACGGAGTGTGGATTTGCGACTTCTAACGGAGAATATGTGCCGCGTTTTCCGCGCGCTTCCTTTTTACATTTTACTGTTTGTTTTGTTGTTTTCCTGAAATGATAAGTATCCTTGATGTTTCTTTATTTAATGGTCGGTTGCTGCACACCGTCATGAGCGAATTGTTTTCTTTTTTTTCGCCCACACGCGGTGCCGGCCTCATTGCTGTGCGTCCCACGGACTGCACGAAGGGAGGAGTGGAGGAGCAGGCCGGATGCCGCAATGAAATGTGAAGAATGCTGTGTGGGCTCACGGAACAGTAATATTTTTTTTATCATGCAGGCAATATTTATACAAAAACACAGGCCTGCCGAGCTGCATGGCGTACGAAATGATGATTCTGCCGAAGTGTATTTTTTTTTGGAGGAGGAGACTCCTGTTGGACACCCAACTACTCTTTTTGTTTTGGTATCGCTTTTTTACTTCTGGTGTGCAGGTCGGTGTGCGTTCCTCTGCAGGGCTGCTGCCGTTGTTTACGGTGCGTATTACTGTGTGACTTTTCTTTCCTTTTCCCTTTTGCTTTCACTCTCTGTTGACGTGTTGTTAGTTTGTGCTGAAGGCTGCACGCAAGTGACAGGGGTGATGGCGATGATGACTGGCCGTGTGCTGCTGGTGTGTGCCCTCTGCGTGCTGTGGTGCGGTGCTGCAGTTTTGGTGTCGGCTGCCGGTGATGTTGTCGATGGCGATGGCAGAGGTGTTCGTGGTGAATCTTTGCCGGAAGGTGCTCAACATGCAGTATTATTACCAAGCAGTCCTGACTCAAGTGTAGCGTTAAAAGAAGGTACAAGTCCACTGCAGAAACGCGTTGAAAAAGTACCTGCACTTGCAAAACAATCTTCTGAAGAAGATAACGAAGCAGGAGATCAAGTTGTGGAAGATGTAACGGTACCAATTGAAGGACAACAACAACGACAAGAAAATGCACAAGAAATGTATGGAGTAGAGACACCCGGAGTTTTAATAATAAAAAAGGAGGCACCTCAAGCCCGTGAAGGAGAAAGAAATTTAACAGCAGCACCAATGGAAGGATCACCGACAACGCCAGGACCACAAGCACCGAAGCCAAAATTACAACCACCACCAACACCAGCAATATTAAGACCAGAAGCAGGAGAGGAACGACCATCACCACCACAAGCATCAGGTGTCGGTGAAGCCGATGGCGGCCCCGTTGGGATTGAAGGTACCGGTCGAAATGTTAGTGGTGGTGGCAGTCTTGTTGGTGCTAGTGACGCTTCTCGTGTTACTGGTGAGGCCACTAAAGATCCTAAAGGAAGTGAAGGTCCCGTTTCCGGGCCGCCTTCCGGTGGTGCTTCTTCATCTCCTATCTCCAACGATGGAGACGCTTCACGGAAGAATGGCGGTGCACCATCCACTCAGGACACGACATCTTTAAAAAACAATGAGCAGTCAAGGCCAACAACATCTTCAGGGAACGCACCACTCAACAGGGAGACACCGGAGAGGTCAACACCCGATGCAAAACAGCACTCCTCTGAAACACAAGAAAATGAAACGAGTCGACTTCCTGATGGGGATGCAAATTACAGCGCCGCGGGGCAGAGTGCCGTGGGGACGAAAGGCTCTTCCGGCGTATCGACTACCGCCAGCAACGCACCAACAACACCTCTACCACAACTGCCAGCACCACCAGTACCAACAGTATCGACAGTAACGGGAGCGCCGGCAGAAAAACCAACTGCAGAACAATCACCGCCACCGGCAGATTCAACAACAGGAGAAGGCCTAGCAGCAACAACAACAGCTCAAACGAATGATACGGCAACACCTGGCGACAGTGACGGCAGCACCGCGGTCTCCCACACCACCTCCCCTCTTTTGCTTCTTGTTTTTGCGTGTGCGGCTGCTGCTGCTGTGGTGGCCGCGTGAGAGAGAGTGAGGGAGAGAGAGCCGTGCACCGCCCGCACACACACTCGTCCTTCTCTCTCTGTGTGTGTGTGTCCCCTTGCATGGACTCTCGCCCTCACCTCACCCCACGAGGCACCCACATAATGTGCCCATTGTATATATGCATGCACACCCATGCAGGCCGTTGGTGCTCTCTTTTGCACGACACGCACCGCTGCCGTCCTGCCTGGCTGCATGGGCGGAGCACCGTAACTGTTTCTGTTTTGTTTTTATTGCATTGAGTGGGCGACCTCTCTCTCTCTCCCTCTGTGTGTGTGTTTTGCTTTACGGGAGTAATGAGAGTGTGTGTGCTGGTCGTCCCACGCTTCGGCTTTTTGTTTTGTTTTCCTTTTTGATTTTGTGGTTGAGTGCACCCATTCCGCGGGCTGCGTGTGTGTGTGATGATATGAGTAATTTGCGTGTGTGCTTATCTGCCTCTCTCTGCCGTTGCTTTCTTCAGACTCTCTTGTGGCGCACAGCTGCTCTGCAAGTATATCTATTGAAAAACACACATGAACACACACACGCCATTATGCATACTCTGTAGAGCGGCGTGATTGCTGAGAATGCATGCGGAAGATTCTGGCTGCGACGTCCCTTGCGAGGAGGGAGGACGGGAGCCTGCGATTTACTTTTTGACACGTTGCAGGCGTGCAGTCGATTGGGCGGTGTGGCTTAGGGTGCCTGGGACAAGTGTGGATTGCTTCTCGTCCAGCTGCTGCACGTGCCGATGTGTATCTTCTATGCTGTGTATACTTTGGTCAGGGATTCTTCGCCTGTGTGGGGTGATGTGCGCTGGCGGATGCGCTGGAAGGGTGAACAGTAAAACAACTGGCGACAGCGCGTGGGCTTTGAAAAGGACGGTCTTGTTCCCTTTTGCATTCTGCCGGTTGCTTTGCTGGGTGTGGGCGTTGCTCGGTGTGTGCTGACGCGTGGCGAAAAACGCACCCGCCGTGACTCCTGCTGCTATTGGTGGCAGTCGCTGTGTGTTATCGGTGCACTGTTCTTCCTTCTCGTTCCGTGTGTCTGTGTGCGTGAGTTGTTGTTGTTGGGAGTGACTGCGGCGGGGATGGTGGTGCCACTCACTGTAGGTGGCGGTGCTTATTCTTTTACTTCTTTTATTGGCCTGTTTTTCTTCATTTCTGCCACTCTCTTACGAAGAAAGCAAACAAGCGCTAAACGCCACTGTGAAATTCGAAGGCTCTGAAAGGACCAACAACACACACACCGCCCACACACATATTTAAATGCTCTCGCGTGTTGCTGTACTCGCGCTTCAACGCGTCCAGCACAAACGGCTCGGCGGCAGCACCTCCACCGTCTTCGGCTGCTGCATCACCGTGTTGTACAGGCGGTAAGCGTTCCGGTACTTCTTCGTCAGTGCCTCTCCCTCCATACCACTCAGACGGTAGTGCCATTACAGCGCAAACGCAACCGCCACGTCCGCAACCGTCATGCGCTCGCCCACGAGGAATGTGCGCGTCTCCAGCCACGCCTCCAGCGCACGCAGCACCTCGTGCATGCGTTCCATCGCGTTGGCGGGCAGCGGCTCGCCACGGAAGGCGTGGTGCACGAACTGTGCGGAGGCAGCGTCCAGCTCCGTTGCCGCAAAGTCGAGCCACATGTCCACCTGGCTGCCCTCCAGCGGCGTGCGGCCGTACAGGAAGCCGCCGCTCCGGCCAAGGCGCGCGATGTGGCGCAGGATGGCGTTGGACTCGAACACACAGCCCTCCTCCGCCTGCAGCACGGGGTAGCGGCCGCACGGGCTGCAGTTGCGGCAGTACTCCGCCGTCTCGTTCTCGCGGCCGTACTCGCACGCCTTCAGCGTCACCGCAACGTTGGCGAGGGCCGCAGCAGCCAGAAGCTTGTGCGTGCGTGCGTTCTCGGTGTTCACACCGCTCCAAAGCGTGAGCGACATGGCGTATGTGTGCTTGTGTGTATTTTAGTGTGCCGTGTATTTTTCAGTGCTTACAGTTGCAGAGCAGCTGCACGGCAAAAGAGCGGCAAGAGAAAGCAACGGCAGAGAGAGGCAGATAGCACACAAGGAGATTACTCATATCATCACACACACACGCAGCCGCGGAATGGGTGCACTCAACCACAAAAAAATGAAAAACAAAACAAAAAGCCGAAGCGTGGGACGACCAGCGCACACACACTCTCATTACTCCCGTAAAGCAAAACACACACACAGAGGGAGAGAGAGAGAGGTCGCCCACTCAATGCAATAAAAACAAAACAGAAACAGTTACGGTGCTCCGCCCATGCAGCCAGGCAGGACGGCAGCGGTGCGTGTCGTGCAAAAGAGAGCACCAACGGGCCTGCATGGGTGTGCATGCATATATACAATGGGCACATTATTGTGTGTGCCTCGTGGGGTGAGGTGAGGGCGAGAGTCCATGCAAGGGGACACACACAGAGAGAGAAGGACGAGTGTGTGTGCGGGCGGTGCACGGCTCTCTCTCCCCCACTCTCACGCGGCCACCACCGCAGACGCAGCCGCACACGCAACAAGAAGAGGAAGCAAAAGAGGGGAGGTGGTGTGGGAGACCGCGGTGCTGCCGTCGCTGTCGCCAGTCGTCGCCGTCGTAGTTTTTATGGCTGTGGCCGTCACTGGTGTTTCTTTCGGATTGGCATCTTTATTTTCATTTTGTTTTTCTTTTCGTGTCCCTGCGCCATCGGCTACTGGATCATTGCTCGGGATGCCGTCTTCAGTGCTATTGTCAGCTTCGTTATTGGCGGCATCACCGTTTGCCGTGGGTGATGGTGGCCCTGATTCTGCATGGTCGTCTTGGACGCGTTGTAGCAGTTGTATGGGCCGTAAATCCTCAGTGCTGGAATGTCCATTCATTGTTGCTGGTAGTGGCGGTGGTGTTGCCGTTTGTATTTCCGTGTCGTTGGCGGGAGTTCCACGTGTCTCTGTTGGTGCCTCATGAATTGTGTTTTCTTTTTTTACTTCGTGTTCCTCCGCCCCCGCTTCACGACTGTGAGATGTAATTCGATGATTTCTTGCATCTTCTTCTTGTGTCGGCGTGCCGTCTGAGGATTCATCACTCTTGGAGGTTTTTTTCGAGGGGAGTTCTTCACCTTCCTCAGGGCCAGGGCTGCCAGAAGAAGAAGAGGATTCAACAGTTTTTAGTTCTTCGGAATTAGATGCGCTTCCGCTCTTTGTATCGTTGGCAGTCTCTCCTTCTTTTCCATTTGCTTCCACCACTTTAGGCTGCCTCACCTGCTGTCCTCCTGTATCTGAACCTCCGGGCTCCAGCGTTACTGCTGCTTCTGCTGTTTGACCTGCGACACCGCCACCTCCTAAACCAGGCTCTGCAGTGCCCCTCGTATTATCGTTCAATTTATTATGAGGTAATGATTCCCCGGTATCCTGAGACTGGTCTGGATCACCACTCGATTCTTCTCCAGCTTCCGCAGCCTCAACCGCCTTTATTAATGCCATTCGAGTCGATAACAACCCGCAGTCCGCCTTTAGAGACACGCCGTCATCTCCACCATTACTCGTGTGCCTCAAACCGTTCCCTCCACCCTCACCGCAGTAATCCTCCATCGCGTGTCCAAAAGCCGCACCGCACCACAGCACGCAGAGGGCACACACCAGCAGCACACGGCCAGTCATCATCATCGCCATCACTCCTGTCAGTTGCGTGTAGCCTTCAGCACAAACTAACAACACGTCAACGCAGAGTGAAAGGAAAAAGAAATGACAAATCACACTCACAGTCACCGCACAGTAACAAATGGCAGCAACAGCAGAAGCAAAGAACACACCACAAAAGACACATAGAATCAGCACGATTGCAAAACTCGCATAATGTCCTGCAGAACAAAAGTTTAAGAAACAAGCAAATAATTTAAAAACGATGACAAACCCAAGACTCCAGTGTGCATGCACCTATCCTCAAATGTGCGTCCACGTACGGCTCGGCTGCGAATGCATACGAGTGTGGGATGCGTTCAACGAAACGAAAGTAACGAACAACGCGGAGCACACATGAGGGCAGCAAACAAAGTAAAACACAACCACCATAATTACTCTTACTTTATACATCGGACCACAGTATAAGCTCACAAATCCCCGTGACTGAGTGCTGGCACGCACAGCCCGCATACACCTCTTTAGTTCACAGTGGTGTACACCAGCGCGGATACGGCGAGCAGCAGCGGGGCACACACCCACGCAGAGCTGCTGAGGCTGCCGTCGATTCCGATAGGAGGTAACGTTGCGTGGGTCGTCGTCGTGGTTGGCGCCTCTGTAGACGTAGTAGTACTTGTTTTCTCCGGCGCAGTGGTCATGGTCGTGGTTGGTGCCTTATGATCCTCCGATTTAATGTCGGTGCCTTATGATTCTCATCGCCTCGTGTATTTTACTGCGCCTTTTTATTTCGTGCATCTGACATACCGGTCGCACCTTGTGTGTGTGTGGAGACTGAGTTGCCAAACCTGCTGGCTCTGGATTATCGCTAGCCGAACTCAGTGACTCTGTCGGAGCTGGTGTCTGTCCAGTGATGGCTGTGCCTGCTTCCTTTGGCAAAGAAGGTCCTGGACTTCTCAAACCCTCCTCGCTGTCTCTCCCACTCTCTGTCCGTGGCACACCGGTCTCCCCACCATATGGCTGTAGTGCACCAGGCATGTTTTTGTAGGATCCGGTTTCCCTAGCTCAGGGCTGGGAGGACGGCTGTTATCATTATTATCGTCTCCTGTCGCCGTCACGCACACGGACGAGCAGCAGCAGCACAAGAGCGCAAGGACCAACACGGCGCCGCACCGTCGTCATCGCAGTCATCATCGCCCGTAGTGGAGTCGCTGGTGTCAGTCAGCTGATCGGTGAGACGGAAAGGAAAAGAATGGAACGAGAGGGAGAGGGACGGAGCACAGCGGATACAGCGAGAGAGCGCAGACAACATGAGGAGAGGGCAGCAGGCCCAGCCGCACAGTTCACACACCACGAGACGGCATTCACGCAAGGAAGGCACACAACGCCAGCAGCCACCCACCATGCAGGAGGAGAAGACATCCACCACCATCTCCCCCAGCTCATTCCCGCAGCCCCAGGGGAATGGCAAAACCCGCGGCCACCACACAACGCACACGGAGCAAGCGAACCCTCATCCATCCATCACGCGGCACAAAATTTCCTGCCATCCCGCCCTCAATGGGACACGGAGCCCAACTCAGCGCAGTCACACGCGGTGCATCACACCCGCAGGAAAATAGACTCGGGGTGCGCTCCCTCTCTCCCTCCTCCTCATGGCCACGGAAGAAGACAACAGCCGCCACACGCAACTGCCAGCATGCACTGCAAAAGGTGCATTCAAATCCACCGCAATGTGCATCTTGTGTGTGTGTGGTTGTGTGTGCCTGCAGCAACACAAAGCAAAGACGTGGAAAAGAGGGAGCAGAGTATGTGGAGGGACGCACAAAAATGTACAGCGGGGACGCATAACGGAAACAACAACAAGAAGACCGCTCAAACTCATGACTGCACTGCAGCCCAAGCAGCGGCAATTCACACAATATTTATTGAAAACAAAAAACGTCCCCCCCGTCTTATGTAAACCCCACCACACAAAATAATTATAAATGAAAAAGAAATCCTCCATTACTGCTCCACACAAATTTAAAATAAGAAAAAAATCGTCTGGCTGCCGTGTGGCCACATCAAACTGTCTGTATGTATTTTGCCCGCAAAAGAAAATTAAAAAGATGGTTGCGTGTGCTTCGACCGTCCGACCCTCCATGTGTCCGCACATCGTTTATATTTCATGCGGTCATCTGCGTGTTGCTGCTCCCCTCAGCCCTCCCATCGGCGCGTGAGTGCGGCCCGCAGAGCACAGTCACTCGTGTGTGTGGGGACTGAGAGAAGCACGCAGACATGACGGCAGTCGCGTCACTCCATCGGGAGAGTGAGCGCAGCAAAAGAAAAAGAAATCATCGGAGGGGAGAGAAATGCTCACGAGGCCGACACCGAAGGGTGCGCCACCGCATGAAATAAACACGCAAAGCAAAACAAATCCTTAAAGAAAAACACGGCGGCAGGGTGTGGCTGTGTGTGTGGCGCTGCGGGTGTCTGCCAGCCCTGGCCGCAAAGAAACAAAACAAGAGGGAAGAAATGTGTGCTCCGCCCCACAGGCCCTCGTCGCACGCCCACACGTCACGGCTCCCTCAGCGCGCCGTTCGTCGCGGCCCCTCCTCATGCGTGCAGCAGGCGAGGCGCACAGGGCCGTCGTCATGAGCGTGTCGGTGGGTGTGCGAGTGGAGCAGTTGGGCGGGAACACACGGCACCCCTCGCAGGAAGAGTGCAGCAACAAACAATTAAAGAGGGAAGAGTAGAAAAGAAAACACGTCCACAGTGATTGCCCCAAAAGCAAAAAAAAAGGGAATGGGGATATAAAACGCACAGCAAAGCAAACGGAGGGAACAGTAAAAAAATGTTATTAAAGAAGATAAATTAATTACCGTGTGTGTCGCTGCAGGGGAGGTCGCAAGTGTCCCACGCGGCAGCCAGTCACTCCTCACAGAGCCGCAAACACCCACAACCCAAACAGAAGAAGCAGCGGCAGCAGTCCGCTCCCACGCACAGTGCCGGCATCGCTGTTATTCCCCTGCGACAAATTTCCGAGACTGCTGTTGAGTGCCGCAGCCTTTACTTCGCCGTCCCGTGCATGGATGTCCTCCCCTTTCTGACCATCCGTCCCTCCCACCATCGCCGCATTCTCACCATAGTGCCCTCCCACCTCAGGTGTCACTGCGGTTCCATCGTGCGCCATGGTTTCAGCGGTAGGGGCATTTGTATCTGCTGTGGCGGGAGTGCCCGCTGACAGTTGTTGCGTTTCATCTCCCTGCACCATGTCTACAGCTTCGGCATCCACCGTTTGACCTCCCTCGGACGAAGAATCAACATCCACATTCGAATATCCTTCGGGAGATGCTCCCAACGCTGACTGGTCTTCGGACTCTTTGGCTGCTGGGGAATTCCTAGCAGGAGATGCCGCTGATGTGGATAAACCGCCACTCCCCGCATTTTCACTTGTCCTCAACGAGCCCTGTTCAGTCTGCTGTTGCCCGACATGACTAGACGGAGTTTCGGTTTCCAGCGTAGCTTGTTTACTTACCACTGGTGGAGTATCCCCATCCACTGTTTTTGCACCTCTTGCTTTTGGAATAGAAAGTTTTGTGTTAAGCGCAGTAATCTCATCGTCATTCAACGGGCGGTTGTACAGCAGGACGTTCGTAACAGTCACAGACACGCCTTCTTTGTTGTCTGCCTTTTCTCCATCCCCTCCAATGTAGAAGTGGGAGATCTCTTTTGAATCCGTATTCTCCAATGCACACGCTTCACCCCCACCCACACGCTGACCATCGACGTACGCGGAGCCTTGGGTACCGTTCCGTAGCAAAATTACGACGTGGTGTTTTGTCTCCGTCGCCAAAGTGCGGCTTTGATCCTCAGGGTTTTCGCCACTACACAGCACCTTCCACTTCTTTTCCTTGTTGTACGACAATCCCAGAAGTACAGTCTTCCCGCTGTCATTCATCTGCACACCCATCAAAGAAATAAGACCCTCCGTCGTCGGCACCTTTTCGATGGACACCGTCGCCACAAGAGTGAAGTTGTAGTTCGCAAAGTGGTACAGCTGATTCTCCCCTTGCTTGCCAACGGGCCACTCCGCCCACGCTCCATGGAACTTCACACCATTGGAAGTCTTTGTTGCCTTCTTACCCTCATCATCATTCCCCTTCACTGTGGCGTTCACCCCGAGGTACTCGTCTTTCCATGTGCCATCAGAGAAGTTGTCCGACAAAAAGCCAACCAGCCCATCCGTGATCTTAACAGTAGGGCTGCAGGCATCGTCAGGTGAGCCATCCTCCTCAGAGGGGCACAGCTCGGAGACAAGGTCGTCCACTTTCTTCCACGTCGCCAGCACATCCTTCACCCGCTGCAGCTGCTCAGTCAGAGGCACAGAGACCATGCCGGGTGATGGTTTGCCCTCAGCGCCCTTCTTCTTCTCGTACAATACAATCAACTTCTCTTCCTTCTGCTCATTGTCACCACTTCCAGCACTTTTGTACAAGAGGGAGCTGGCGGCAGCGTCATCATCGGATACCGGCCCAATATCAACAATGTGCGTATTGTCCGTCAGCCAAAGATGGAGTTTTCCCTTTTTCACATTTTCCTTTTCTTCGCTCTCAGTATTCTTAGAATACACCGGCAGAGTAACGAGCATCACATTTCTCTTATTTTCATCACCTTCAATCGTCGCCGTGATGAACCCGCTTCTAACGGCCTTCACCTCTTCGCCCTGTTTGTTGCCCCACACGCGCGAGAGTGTCCCGAGTGCCTCCGTCCACGAATCCCCCTTGTCACCGGACTCGTACACCCTGCGGCGGCCATCAACACACGCAGTCATCATCATGAGTTTTTTGTCCTCCTTCCACCCCACGACGGAGGGATCACTGCAGCCACCGTCAGAAATCCCGTTTGACAGCTTCCAATTTGCAGCATCCAAGGAGTACATGATCAGCGAAACGGCCTTCCCACCCTCCTTCGTCACGGCTTGCACTGGGAACACAAGCGTATCATCATGCATCTTAACACCCAATCCACCGCCGCCAATCAGTCGTGTGAAAGCTACTTTTTCTTTTTCAACAGTAGAAATGCACGGGACGCCAGAGGTATCTCCCCAAATAATACTGTCACTGCTCCCACCACCAACCTTTCCTTTCACCAGCAAAAGTCCGCAGTCCTCGGCATCATTCATCGGAGGAACAACAACAGCTGTAGGACTGTATTTCCCAACAAGCATGTAAATATCATTTTCCTTCACAACTGTTGTTGGCCGGCTCACACGTACTTTCGTTTCGCTTTGGGAAACAGCATGGCCCTCTGGTTGGGAGGCGCATTCCTCTTTATCGGATGGACATTCCTCCAGTACTTGTGTCTTCACTTTACTCGCATCCAACTCCTCCTTTGTTTGCTTCTTATCCAACGTTAGGAGCCCCGAGGCAATCCCAGTAAAACTGCCTTCACCAGCATCATTTTTTCCCGTGCACTGCGCCTCGGCAACGGCAAACACCTTACCATCCACCTCAAGAAGACTGGGAACACGGAGCGAACTCACTGTTCTTTCTTCCACATCCCTCCAAACAAAATGATTTTCCGGTGAAGATCCTGGGCCTGGCGCCCGTACATCAGCTTCAACACCACCAGTGTCGCACATCATCACGACGAGGAGAAGCAGCAGCAGCGCGGAAGCAAACACACGCCGCGACATGTTGGGCCTCTGCGGCTCACTCTCTCTTCCTTCCCTCCTCCTTCCGCCGGATCCGGTCACGCGGCGACGGTTGTGTGCACGGGGTGCCATGACACCTGCAGCAACACGTGAGAGCATTTAAATATGTGTGCGGGCGGTGTGTGTGCTGTTGGTCCCTTCAGAGCCTTCGAATTCCACAGTAGCGATTAGCGTTTAGCCTTACTTCCTTTCCTTCTTCGTGTGGAAAAGAGAGAGAAGAGGAAAAAGGAGTGAAACAGTGAACACCGCCATCCATCCACGGTGAGTGGCACTATCATCCCCACCGCAGTCACTCCCAACAACAACAACTCACGCACACAGACACACGGAATGAGAAGAAAGAACAGTGCACCGGGAACACACAGCGAATGCCACCAGCAGTAAAAGCCACAGCGGGTACCTTGTGCTTCCGCCACGCGCCAGAACGCACACAGAGCAACGCCCACACATGTACTGCCGCCAGTCGTTTTACTGTTGTCTCTCCCCGCACCATCCATCGCACATCGCCCCGCACAGCCGGAGAATCCTTCGTGGGTGCATGAACAGCGAGAGAAAAACGTCGGCACGTGCAGCTGCCGGGCAACAATCCATGCTCACTCGCCCAAGGCACCCTTAATGCCGCATCATATCAGTCAACTGGTGCACGCCAACACCATAACCGCAGCAATTCCAGGGGACGCACGGCGAGCTCACACCCTCCATCCCCGCAAGAGCCACCACAGCCAAATTGTGTGAGGAATGGCATGTGCATTTGTGTGTGTGTTTGTGTTTGGCAGCGCCTATACTTGCGGAGCAGCTGTGCGCCACAAGAGAGTCTGAAGAAAGCAACGGCAGAGAGAGGCAGATAGCACACACGCAAATTACTCATATCATCACACACACACGCAGCCCGCGGAATGGGTGCACTCAACCACAAAATCAAAAAGAAAAACAAAACAAAAAGCCGAAGCGTGGGACGACCAGCGCACACACACTCTCATTGCTCCCGTAAAGCAAAACACACACACACAGGGAGAGAGAGAGGTCGCCCACTCAAGGCAATAAAAACAGAAACAGTTACGGTGCTCCGCCCATGCAGCCAGGCAGGACGGCAGCGGTGCGTGTCGTGCAAAAGAGAGCACCAACGGCCTGCATGGGTGTGCATGCATATATACAATGGGCACATTATTGTGTGTGCTTCGTGGGGTGAGGTGAGGGCGAGAGTCCATGCAAGGGGACACACACACACAGAGAGAAGGACGAGTGTGTGTGCGGGCGGTGCACGGCTCTCTCTCCCTCACTCTCACGCGGCCACCACCGCAGCAGCCGCACAAGCAACAACAACAACAAAAAGCAAAAGAGGGAAGGTGGTGTGGGAGACCGCGGTGCTGCCGTCACTGTCGCCAGTCGTCGCCGTTGTATTTTTCGTGGCTGTGGCTTCGACTGGTCTTTCTTTCGGATTGGCTTCTTTATTTTCATTTTGTTTTCCCTCTCGTGTCCCTGCGGCATCGGCTGTTGAATCACCGTCTCCAGTTGTTTGTGTTCTGTTGGTATTTGTTATATTCGATGCTCCCGCCGCACCAGAAGATAAACTTGGCTGCTTTTGACCGGCTGCTGAGGTCCCCTCTGCGGTGCCGGTAACAGCTTTTTCCTTCTTTTTCTCCTCTCCTTCCTTCTTATCGTTGCTTTTTTCTTCCTCTTCGTCCCTTTCTCCTCGACGTTCTTCTTCTAGTTCCTCACTTTCTTGCTCAGCCTTTTCTTTCTTTGTCACTTCCTCTTCCTCGTCATCTTTTTTCTTTTCACCTTCGGTTTCTTGATCCTTGTTGTCCGTTCCTGCGCCTGCCTTTTCTAATGCTTCTCCTCGGGATTTTGGTGCCGGTGACTGGCTCGCTTGCACTTCCGGTGATCCTGACGCCTTTGGTGATTTTTCTTCTAGCGCTGACTTTTGACCGCTTTGGCCAACTTCTGCAGCGGCACCGACGGTATTTTCTTCTTTTTGAGTGTTATCTTCGGGCGGAGTAACCGGAGGAACTGGAGGAGCTGGAAGAGTTGCTTCAGCTCGTCCATCACCGCCGGCACCGCACCACAGCACGCAGAGGGCACACACCAGCAGCACACGGCCAGTCATCATCATCACGGCTGCACACACAGTCTAGGGAGGGACAAAGAGAGGAGGATGAGAAGAACACACGCACATCAGCAGCATGGAAAAGGAGGAGTAGCGTTTGCATGAGGGTTGTTGCCATGAGCATGGGGGACGCGTGCACGCAGGAAGAGCAGGCAACAATGAAACACCGGACAGCACGACACACAACTCCACGGCATGTAAAACCCACCCGCAGCTCCCCCAAAATGGAAGGGAAAGAGGGCGCAACAGTACGGCAAGAACACAGTGATGCCGGTGCGGAAAAGAATCCCAAAAAGGCGTGAAAAAGAAACAAAAAACAGTATTCCCCCACAGCGGCCACACCCAACAACGCAAGTAATAATAACAGAAACAAACACCACACACGGCAACTCACAGCGGCAGTGAGTTCCCTGTCGCCAATCTTCATGGCTGCACGCTACCGCACTCCTCGTGAGTCCATCGCTCCGCCGCCTTCCTCCTTCCCGCGGCTCCCCCGCACGAACAGCCACGGCACACAATCGGGTCCATCCTCACCCGTCGCCATGCCGCTCTCAACGACCCAACAGTCAACCGCCCAAAAGCCGTTGCTGAAATCACACACCCGCAACAAAGCACGCGACGCAACATCATGTCACGTGGACCCCGCCGTCAGAAGAACGTCATGTCAACCGTTTGGCCGGCACACGGTACAATCAATCAACAGAACAGAGAAGTAAGACAGGCACTCAATCAAGGACTCTCCACGCACACAGCCCTTTTGATGCCGCCGCTGCTGCCACGGGCACGGTAACCGAGCGGAAAATGACACGCAGTAGAAAAGGCCTCGCAAGAGAGAAACAATCCACACGTCCATATGCAAAGCGCCACTCGGACTGCTGCGGCTGCAGGGTCTGTGGGCAAAAATGCGCCTTACTGAATCCCGCCAGTTATGTCAGTTTCCCCTCCCACCAATGTAGCGCATAATGCACGGCGTGCGTCCACAGGCATCCACTCCCGGTGCCCTAGCAACACTTCAGAACACACATAATGGAGAAGGGAAGTATCATTACACAATGCCAAAGCAGCTAAATAAAAATAGGGAAATCAAAACCACACAGATCCCTCGTACACACACACAAACACAGCACAGTATCCTCCAGAAGAAGTCAAACAATTTCTTATCCCAACCCATAATACATGCGTGGTGCCGACACATTAGCGAACAACACAAAAGAGGGAGAGTGCATACAGCATGTCCTTGGTACAAAGTATACGGACAAGCAGAGCGTATGTATATACTGATAGGAACATGCCAGTTGATATAGGCCTTTCTCTCTTGCACCCACTGCTGAGTGTTGCCACCGCGGCGGCAGCGACAAGCAGAAGAAGCAACGGAAAGGGACAAGCAGCAGCCGCACTGTTATTGCCGTGGATCGGAGGCGGGGCGTTCTTCATGTCTGCCTACCAACCCCCGCACCCCACCGCATCATCCTCCCTCGGCGGAGGCTCCACGGCGCCCTGCGCGGTATCAGCGGCATCAGGGCTCTTGGGTCCCGTGGCTGTGGCACCGCCACCGGCCTTGTCGCTGGCAGCCTCATCTCCTAATGATTGTCCCAAAACAGACGCCACACCATCGGCGGCCACGTCGTCGATGTCCGGAAGATCGCTTTCCTTCTCCGCCTCCTGCGGCGCACCCGCGGTGTCGCTGGGCAAGAGCACACCGTTGCCGTCGTGGCACCTGAGGCGACTTCCCTCTCCTCTGGCGACGGATGCTTCTGGGGAGCAGCCGTGTCCACATACTTCGGTGGTGTGCCACGGCCGGTCCCAATGCTTTCTGGATCGGGGACGGATGCCCGTGGCAAAGCTTGTTCAGTAGATGCCAGTGAAACCGTCCTGCTCCACACCCTCTCACATCGCCACCCCACGGAACCACTGGAAGTATCCTGCCGCTGGTGGCGGATATCGTGCACACCTGCGCGTGGTCACGGAAAATAGCTTTTCCCTCGTCGTAGCGCGGAGCAACCCACGTAATCGTCGCCTCAGCCGTGCATGGGGCACAGCGGGCGTTACCCTCTTCAGTCACTCTCAGACGCACCCGCATGCCGAGGCACCGCAATGCCGCATGCATGACAGCACGGAGATGTATGTTTCTTCCGTGTCCCTCGCATCCATCGTGTTGGTGGGAAGCGTGTCCAGACACCACGAAGAGGCCTTGTCCCCAGGCACCGCAGACAAACATTCTCCCCTCCAAATAACAGCGGCAGCATTTCTCACATCCAGTGCGGGACCAGTGATGGGGCAACTGTCCATCGGGCGTTTTGCTGACCCCTCATGAATAATTCGTCTACACACCAACCACTGGAATACCGATCCAACGCGCAGCGTCTGGCAGGAACGCCCGCTTCGCAGAACATCTGGGGATATTCACTCATGTTCGGTGCGAAGCACTTCCTCTGCAGCAGCGCACAGCACGAATTCCTTCACCAGCGCATCGGCTCCGCCATCTCCCACTTCACCCTCATGCAGCCCGGGTCAGCCGGTGCGGCCAGCGTCAACTCCGTGCAGCAGCCGGCACAACCAATCGGTGCCATCCACTCATCCTTCGCGTGGCGCTGCGACCAGTGCGACTCCAGCGTCCTCCCGTCCCCATCGCCATCCTGCAGCTCCATGCCATCAATGTCGTCGCAGTCGTGGTGCTCCCTCGCAGCCACCACGGCAGTCGTCGAGTGCACCACCACCGACAGCGCTCTGCCACGCACCGGAAACATGCCTCACCGTGCTGCGGCTGGCCATGTGCGGGTGGGTGAACCGACTGCAAACGCTGCCCGTGGCAAATGGGGGCACAATCAAAGGACCCTCCAGTGGCTGCACGAGCAGACGATCCGCATGCGGTTTGAAAGCAGCAGGGACAACTTCATCCTCGAGAATGATCCCGTGCGCAGAGGATACAACGTCACCTTCACAGTGTCGATTGTCATTCGATTAATTCATTGCGTAGTACCGCTCTGAGATCCAATGCTTCCTGGTACCATCCAGGTCCCTTGTGGATACGTTGATGCGGATGGGCGTCCATCCATCCCAATGACGGCGTATGGCTGCAGCGCACTCACCGCTCAAAAAGGGTGCGTCCCTCACAACAACGCGGATCCAATTCGTGCTGTCGGCACGCATCACATATTCAACAAATCGAGGGTACGTCAAAGTGACAGCAAAGCACCCGCCGGCAATCACACCATAAACATCATCACATGCAGCAGCAGCGTCTCAAACTAATGTGGGGTGTAGAGCAAGTAAGCCATTGATGTGGGTGTTAGGCAAATATTTCGTGGCTCGCTGAAGCAACAAGGACCAATTGCGTGGTAGAAACAAAGAACAGGAGAATACAAAAGGGAAAATATTCAGCCATCCGCACTTTAATCAAGTCACCAATCAAAAAAAGTAAAATGGGTGCACCCAACCACAACAGAAGCAGAGATTCAAAACAAAAAGCCGAAGCGTGGGACGACCAGCGCACACACTCTCATTGCTCCCGTAAAGCAAAACACACACACAGAGGGAGAGAGAGAGAGGTCGCCCACTCAATGCAATGGAAACAAAACAGAAACAGTTACGGTGCTCCGCCCATGCAGCCAGGCAGGACGGCAGCGGTGCGTGCGGTGCAAAAGAGAGCACCAACGGACCTGCATGGGTGTGCATGCATATATACAATGGGCACATTATGTGTGTGCCTCGTGGGGTGAGGTGAGGGCGAGAGTCCATGCAAGGGGACACACACACACACATAGAGTGAAGGACGAGTGTGTGTGCGGGCGGTGCACGGCTCTCTCTCCCTCACTCTCACGCGGCCACCACCGCAGCAGCAGCCGCACACACAACAAGAAGAAGCAAAAGAGGGGAGGTGGTGTGGGAGACCGCGGTGCTGCCGTCACTGTCACCAGGTGATGTCGTATCATTCCTTTTCGCTGTAGTTGTTTCTGTTAGGTTTTCTTCTGTTGTTGAATCTGCCGGTGGCGGTGATCGTTCTGCAGTTGGTTTTTCTGCCGGCGCTCCCGTTACTCTCGCTGTTGTTGGTACTGGTGGTGCTGGCAGTTGTGGTTGAGGTGTTGTTGGTGCGTTGCTGGCGGCAGTCGATACGCCGGAAGAGCCTTTCGTTCCCACGGCACTCTGCCCCGTGGCGCTGTAATTTGCATCCCCATCAGGAAGTCGACTCGTTTCATTTTCTTGTGTTTCAGAGGAGTGCTGTTTTGCATCGGGTGTTGACCTCTCCGGTGTCTCCCTGTTGAGTGGTGCGTTCCCTGAAGATGTTGTTGGCCTTGACTGCTCATTGTTTTTTAAAGATGTCGTGTCCTGAGTGGATGGTGCACCGCCATTCTTCCGTGAAGCGTCTCCATCGTTGGAGATAGGAGATGAAGAAGCACCACCGGAAGGCGGCCCGGAAACGGGACCTTCACTTCCTTTAGGATCTTTAGTGGCCTCACCAGTAACACGAGAAGCGTCACTAGCACCAACAAGACTGCCACCACCACTAACATTTCGACCGGTACCTTCAATCCCAACGGGGCCGCCATCGGCTTCACCGACACCTGATGCTTGTGGTGGTGATGGTCGTTCCTCTCCTGCTTCTGGTCTTAATATTGCTGGTGTTGGTGGTGGTTGTAATTTTGGCTTCGGTGCTTGTGGTCCTGGCGTTGTCGGTGATCCTTCCATTGGTGCTGCTGT